TTTTGGTCCTTGCCCTGGTGAGCTGGGTACATAAGCGCGGTCCTGCCCCGGGCTGTGTTTGCTGGGGCTGACTCCGCTCTCGCCGTTGCAAACGCCGGGTCTGGTATGCAGGGCTCAGGTCTGTGTTTTTCCAATCTGCTTCACGTCAGTGAATCATCCTGTGATAAGGAAACACACCCAGGGCACTCTGCCTTCCCTTCCTCCCTATGGCCAGCCGAATCCTGGTCCTAAGAGCCAAGGACATGATTTTGCATCCTCTCCCTTGGTTTTTTTAGCTGTTTGGAGAAGTATGTAATAAAATCTGCCTCAAGACTTGTCTTGAGGGGCTCCAGCTCCCTGCAGCGTGGCCCAGCATCATCCTCCTCTCTGGTTGTTCCTCATCACTCAGGTCTCACGCTCCCTGTCTTTGCCTCCAGACTTCTGCCGGAGCAAACATCTTGCTGACTCCGGGGAGGGTAGAGCTGCCTTTCCGTGTGCTCCCTCTCCTGTTGCCCAGAGCAGCATGCCCTGGCTGGGGCTCCCTGGCTCCTGGAGGGGATGAGCCTTGCCCTGCCTGCCCTCGGGGACCTTGAGCGCCCCTGGGCACTGTTTCATGACAGCCCAACTTGGGGATGCCAGGTTTTGCCCCTGTATGGTGCTGAGCCAGGTGCGTAGTTCTTGGGGATGCTTTATCCTGGCGCCCAGGGTGCCCTGGCCTGGGGCTGACCCTGAGCATGAGAAAATGAAGCGTTTGAGGGGTGCCGTGTGCGTGCCTGGCCGGGGCTCACCCTGGGAACCCTTTGCCCGTGGTGCCTGGGGCTGCGCAACGGCTGCTGCAGCTTTTCTGATCTCGTTCCAGGCTGTGAGCTGACTGCCAGTACCAAATCCTACACGTTTCAGGTGGATGAGGAAGATGACTCTGACCACATTTTGGCCCTGTCTGTGGTAAGAGGAATGAGAATTAACTGTGCTTGCCCTCTCCTGTGGTGGCCCACGGCCTCACCACCACCACCCCCCAGCTCATTCCCTTTTCCCAGGCTCATTCCCCCTTCCCTGGCCGGGCTGGACCCGGGAACTCCTTTGGCTGAGATCTCGGCACTGGCTGCTCTCAGGGCAGGGCGTGGGACTGTCACATTTATGCAGTGCTTGAGCAAAGCCAGCAGCATCAGGAGACTGCTCAACAGAGGAATAGGGTGAAGGAAAGTATTTTTTCCTTCTATTTGACCTTGCTGGAGCCTCCCACTAGAACATGGCCCCCCCTCACCAGCTGGGTCCCTGGCTTGTTGCTCTCCAAGTCCAGGTTGATGCAGGGCTTCATTCCTGGCTCTCCCTGGGGCTCCCTTTCTGTCCTGGGAGCACAAGATCTGCCAGCATGGGTCAGACCAGCAGAAAGCACAGCCCAGGTGCCATCTCTTGAGGTGGTTGCAGGAACGGCTATCCCAGCTGGGGAAGGCACAGAGTCCCTCTGGAGGTGGTGAGGGGACAACTGCTGGGGGGGGGCTCCATGCTCTCCCTGTTCCATGGAGCATCATCCTCACGCCTTGCACGGCAGCTAGGCTGACAGCATTGCTGTGGGTTGCTTGTCCTATGGAGAGCCCTGGCTGTCCCTGCTGTGTCCCCTGGGAGAGCAGTAGTTCACGATCGCTGCTCCCACCCAGGTCTGCCTCACAGACGGTGCCAAGGACGAGTGCAATGTGGTGGAGGTCGTTGGGCGAAACCACGAGAACCAGGAGATTGCTGTGCCTGTGGCAAATCTGAAGTTATCATGCCAGCCCTTGGTAAGAGGTTGTTTTGAAGACTCGGGTGGGGATGGCTGCAGGGAACTGCACATCTCTGGGTGTTTGTGGACCTTTCCCCTAGGATCCTGACCATGAGCTGGTCTGCAGCTCGTGGGGAAATGCCCGGGGTAGCCTTGGCCTGCCTGCAGACACCCTCAGAAGGACACGTTTGACTGGGCCAGGTGCCGTGCTGGGGACCGCAGGACATTGTGCTTTTTGCCTCTGCCCCTAACTCGGTCCCATCTCTTGTCCCTTTGCAGCTGAGCCTGGACAACTTCAAGCTGCAGCCTCCGGTGACCTTCCGCCTGGCAGCAGGCTCTGGCCCGGTACACCTCGCTGGCTGGCACCAGATCGGTAAGGACTCATGGGTGCAGGAAGGCTTGGGAGGAGGAAGGGGTATGGAGGGGCTCCCTCCAGCAAGAACACTGGCCAGGGAGCCTCTGGGAGATGCGCTTGGTGCTGCCCAGCATTTGTGCGTGGTGCCTCCTTGGTGCTGGTTCCCCAGGGGCTGTCTCCATGCAGGGATTCCTTCCCTGCCCTAAAGCCTTGACCAGGAAAAGGGGTCTGGATGACCCACGTTGTCCCCTTTTCCCATGGCTGGCTGTTGCCATTCCCTTCTGAGACGTCCCTCCAGCTGGGATACAGCTTACTGCCCACGGGCTGCTGTTAAAACTGCTCTGGTGCTCCTTGGGCTCCTCTGTTCCTGGGGTGTCTTGGGGGGGGGGGGGGAGGGACAGCTGTATTTGCAAAGACAAGCGTTGGGGAAAAACAGTTAC